GCTATGATAATTGGTTGCACATGCCTAAAATTTTAACCAAAAAAAAACCTTAAGTAAATAAATATATCTAATAAGTTCCTGTGTGTCATGATTACCCAGGCTGCTAGTCATGCAAATGATCATACCCTAAGCATAAGCCTTGAAGGGAAGGACTATATCTTGTATACCTTTGTATCCATCAGGTCTCATACAGGAGAATCTAATAAACATTTGAAAGATGAATGAATGGATGGATGGATGGATGGATGGATGGATGAATGGATGGATGGATGAATATGTTTCCTTTAAGGTGACTCATACATCTTTGAGTTTCTCTAGATTGTTAGCACAAGGTTTTGCTTAAAATAGAGAATATTTAGTGATTGTATGAGTGTTCAAAAGAGGAAAGGGAAACGTCTCCTTTCTTACCGGGCTACACTATTGTTCTAGATATCATGGAATATGCATTTTCTAGCCCACTTGTCGCTATCAATTATTGACTGTCAAGGGCTCCAGCAAACTAGAAGTCCCCTATGCACCAACCATTCCACCCCTGACCCTTGCCTTTTCTTTGAACCTATAACAATTTTCTAAAGAATTTTTTAAAGGATAGGATGATGTATTCCTTTGATAATGAGGAGGGAAAAAATTAAGAAATCTAACTTGTATGGGTTCTGTTCATATTTTCTCTTCTCCCACTTCATTTATAAAGGAGTTTGTAATATCAGGGAGGTTTCAAACTGGGGCACCATACCAAATCCAATTTATGGAACTTTTTGACAGCCTAACATTGGTTTTTTAAAAATGTAATTAATTGCTCTACTACATTATATTCTTAGTGACAAGCAAGAAAAAACTGACTCTGGCTAATTTAACAGAAAAGAATTTGTGAACATGCTCTTGGTCGGCCCCAGAATCCAAATGAGGGTGGAGGACCAGACTCAGGGCCATGCAGCCAGGAACATGACTCAAACCCACACAGCAGGGCCAACTCACCCCATCAAGACCACACTGTCACAGGATACATGCTACACCTACACCTCAGATAAGGCTACTGCTGCTGGCACCAAACTCCCTGTTTCCCTGGGAACTCCAGTATGTGGCCACTACAGGGCTTCCCATAGTCCCTGCTTCTTTGCATCACTAGCTGAGAAGTTCAGGGCAGGCTCCTGCAATCAGCAGAGCCCAGATCGTTCGAGTGGATGAAGGAGATTGGGCAGTAACTAGAGATGGGAGGTGGGGGGAATTGAGCCACTGCCTGCTACTGCCCTGTCCCTTCCTTGCTAATTTTCAAATACCTCCCTCCTACTCCCCCACCTTTGCCCCTTCTGAGTTTAGAACCCCTAAACAAGCTTAGTAATTTGCACATTCATTGACAAAATTAACACAGTTGGAAGCACTGAGTTAAGAAGTCTAATAGCTGCCTGTTCTTGGTAAATATTTATTAGGCCATTTTTAGACAGTGGTAATGCATTCAATTAATATTTATGAATGCAAAATAGAAAGCCCTAACTGGTCTAATACAGCCCTAAATGGTCTAATGGTTATGATTGCACTCTTCCAGTAATCCTTTCAAATTCAGAATTAGAATCTAAATAGAGTCTGTGAGTGCCTTGAGAAACCAATTAAAATCTTAATCCCTCTATGGAGTGATTCTTTGCCTGCATTATTGTGCTGGCTCACTGTTTCCTAGTCCATCAACGGCACTGTCAACTATGGCCCTTCTCCAATAACCTTTAATCCATCTAACAGAGTGAGCAATTGAACAGCTCAGTGAAAATTTACTTGAGTTCAACACATTCTTGGATGTGCTCATTAATTTTCTCAAAAAGCTTCCAAGAGGGTAAGTGGTAGCCCAGAATATGATATTTATTCATGAGTTGCTTGGCATGTAGTCACAGCCTTAATTTCACATACAAGGAAATGCTTTTAGCTGTAAGCATTTTAACTTCTGTTCAGAACACAACAAACTCATCCTCTAAAAATCCTAGCAATTAGTTTATTGCTGAGTTTAGAGGTTTTTCAATAAAACCCATCCATGGCAGAAGAATTTTTGTATGTGCTACATTGCAAAAGACTAAACTGTCAGATTTAGGCTCAGTTTTATATTTACCTAGCATAAACTATGTGCCAAACACTTTTCTAGGCAAGGTTACAAACATTATCTTATCTATCACTACAAACACATAAGGTAGAGTTAATCCCACTTCACTGATGAGGAAAGCCAAAGCTCAAGGTCTATTTGGACTTAAAAAAAGAAACCACAGCCTGGCTGCCATGGCTCAGTGGTTGAGCATCAACCTATGACCCAGGAGGTCACAGTTGACTCCCGGTCAGGGCACATGCCCAGATTGTGGGCTTGATCCCCGATTCCCAGTGTGGAGTGTGCAGGAGGCAGCCGATCAATGATTCTCTTTCATCATTGATTTTTCTCTCTCCATCTCCCTTCCTCTCTGAAATCAATAATAAAAATATATTAGAAAAAAAAGAGAAAAATCACAGAGCCCATTGGTGGTAAAGTCAGGGTTTGAGCCTAAGTTCTGATCTAAATCAGCTCTCTGTCTCAGCAGAATGATCCAGTATGAGTAAGTTTCAGCATGAAAGAGTAGCTAAGTTGGACCAGGCTTTAGGAAGAGATGAGTAACATGGAGCAATTCCTTCCAGATTGAATATTATGGAGTAAGCCACTGATTAATGCAAATTGCTGGGATTTCACTGAGACACAGCAACTTGCATCCTATCTTTCAAAACTGGGTTGAAAGAAAGGACATGATCAAAGCAAATGGGTGTTTCATCTAATGAAAGGCTGATGATGAAAAATGGCTAGATATAAATTTTATCATATCTCAATGCATAGGTTTAGAAAGCAAAGGCAAATAAACAATAAAACAAAACCATGTATTTAAAAAAATGATGTAGAAAAGTTGTTTTGCAATGCCTAGTGACTACATAATTGGACAGTCTATAGCTGAGGCAGATATTTTGCACCTTTTTTTTCCTTCTTCACTTTCATGATTCCTTGCCAACATACTAGTAAGTAAGTCTGGACTCGTTGATTAGGCCCAAGAGTTGGTCCAAGGGTGCATTCACATGACTCCCAGCACCATCTTGGTAACAGATCCTCGCTCTGGCTCCACAGCATGGAATTCAGGATTCTATCTGGTTCAAGCTGTTTTGGCTTGGAGAGGTTAAGAGTAATGAATGAGGAGTTTATTTAACCTACCCTGTTATATGACTCTGAGGTAGATGAGGTACACCTGGCCAGGGTGCAGTTGTCTCCACCATGTACCCAAGCAAGGCCATGTCCCGGACTGCTTTAGCACCCTGTGTGTAAGACTGGGTTTGAAGGGGCAGCTGAGCTTTGAAAGGCTTGATGTGAGTTTCATTTGCTCAGGCTTAGCATCCGCAAATGCCTATCTGCTGGTGTGGTCATTTTGAGGGATCCTCCAGTGGAAGCACTTCTCTCTGTTAAAAGAGGAAATGAGAGCTGCATACCCTACCTGCTCTGCCTACAATGCTGCACCTTTAAATATAGAAATCTTGTTTGATTTACCCAAGTGGTGTCTTCATGTGGTTGTTTAGTCAATCTGAGCCTATTATTCACATTTATAAGGTTGGTGAGTGTACAGAGCCAAATATCTAAAACAGTTCCAAGGTCTTTTGAAAAGAGATGGGTAGATTTATTGCAAAACTGATGTTCAGTGATGATTCTCATCCTTGACCAAAATGTAAGGCTCACAGGAACCTTCAAGAAATTATTTCTTGCCCTAGCTGGTTTGGCTCAGTGGATGGAACATCAGCCTGTGGATTGAAGGGTCACGGGTTCAATTCCAGTTAAGGGCACATGCCCGTGTTGTGGGCTCCACCCCCAGTAGGGGGCTTGCAGGAGGCAGCCGATCAATGATTCTCGTTCGTCATTGATGTTTGTCTCTCCCTATCTCCCTTCCTCTCTGAAATCAATAAAAATATACATTAAAAAAAGAAATTATTTCTTTCTATCACATCCATCTAAAATGATTACCCTTGGCCAGGCCAGGTGGCTCAGTTGGGTGGAGTGTCATCCCATACACCAAAAGGTTGTGGGTTCAATTTCCGGTCAGGGCACATACCTAGGTTTTGGGTTTGATCTCCAGTCAGTGTGCTTATGGGAGGCAACCAACCAATCAACCAATCGATGTCTTTCTCTCACTTGATGTTTCTCTCTCTCTCTCTCTCTCTCTCTCTCTCTCTTTCTGTCTCTCTAAAAATCAATAAATATATCCTCCAGTAAGGAAATTAAAAATAAATAAATAAAATGATTACTCTTCTAGACATATCACATATTCTTAAACTAAATTCTGCTAAATAATTCACATAGAAAGGAAAGTCTAGGGCAGTGATGGCGAACCTATGACACACGTGTCAGAGGTGACACACGAACTCATTTTTTTGGTTGATTTTTCTTTGTTAAATGGCATTTAAATATATAAAATAAATATCAAAAATATAGGTCTTTGTTTTACTATGGGTGCAAATATCAAAAAATTTCTATATGTGACAGGGCACCAGAGTTAAGTTAGGGTTTTTCAAAATGCTGACACGCTAAGCTCAAAAGGTTCGCCATCACTGGTCTAGGGCAAAGGAGGCATAAAAATTTAAGAAATGTGAAATGTGCTATAGCAGTAAAGCTTCTAGAAGGAGGGTCTTAGTGTAGCAACAGAGTCTACTGTCCTTTTGTATGTAATATTTTCATGTGCTTTATAAAGGGAAAACATTAAAAAGTAATTGATACTAATTTGAAGATCTAGGCATATAATTCTATAGGAATTAATCTCTGGAAAATATTTTTGTCTGAAACACATAATTTCAAAATAACTTCTCAGCAGAAATGTGCTCCTTGCCTTCCACTGTGTTTATGGCTGATGTAGTCCTCACTCCATTTTCAATATTTATTTAACCATCTACCCATATCTTTTACTAAGAAACATACCTTTCCTTCTCATTTTATCAACTTGTAGCTGTTCTCCTTCTGTGGATCCAGTCCATAGGGAAAAAAAAAATGAGCAAGGTTATTATGTCTTTGAAAATTTTTTAAAAGGTGATTTCATTCTTATCATTAAAGTCATTGTTATGAACCATGTGGACTTTTTTTTAAATACATTACTCTCTGACATAATTTAGCTTCATTAAAGGTCTAGCTCTGTTTAAGAATAATACGGATTTTTGGTAAACTTTTCCTTTCAATCATTTTTTGGCTTGTGTAATCCACCAATACTGCTGTTTTTTAGCAGAAAGGATGAGTCACAAAGGAAAAAAATCCTTTTACAGGGTCTTATAGTGAGACTAGAGGCCCGGTGCATGAAAATTTATGCACTGGAGGGGGGGTTCCCTCAGCCAGGCCTGCCCCCTCTCACAGTCTGGGAACCCTCAGGGCGGGAGGTGACCTGGTGATCAGGGGAAGGCGATGCCCCATCACACCTCTGCTGCTGCCACTGCTGGCAGAGCAAGCCTCGGCTGGTCCTAGTTACCTGAGCCTCGGGCCGGCCCTGGGCGGGTGGGCAGCTGCCATCAGAGGCTTGCCTGTGACTCAGGCTAGCCCTGGGCGGCTGGCAGCCTCCATCTGAGGCTTGCCTGCAACTTGGGCGGGCCCTGGGCAGCTGGGGAGCTGCCATTGGCAGTGGAGCAGCCAGCCCTACCCCCACCATGGGCGCTGCCATCTTGTGAGGATGTGATGGTTAATTTGCATAGTACCTCTTTATTATATATATACTAGAGGCCCGGTGCACAAAAATTTGTGCACTCGGGAGGGGGGGGGGGGGGGCCCCCCCCCCCGCCCCCGCCTCTCCTCATCTTCCTCTTCCTCGCTGTCCCGAGCTGGCCTGGCAAAGGGTCAGTTCAGTTTAGCAGGTCCTGACTCCTTGGGCCAATGGTCAGGGGCTGTGCGGAGGGCGGGGCTGTGTGTGTGGGGCGGGGCTTGCGGAGGGCGTGGCTTGC